AAAATCTAATGGAGGATTAAGACTCGATAAAGTACAATAACAACTCAAAAATAAAGTTAGGATCGATCATACATTTTATGATACATTTTAAAATATTACCCATCTCATAAAACTCAAGTTGTAACATCACCTTAATATTTTAGTAATTAAGGATAAAATACATTAAAGTTAATCTTGACTATCATAGTCTTATGTTCCATTCCTAAATCTCTTTCTACTAAAAGATTGAAGGATTCCGTGAATGTAGTACCACAATTTTTGTAATTTTCTTCTTGAAGACTTTATAAAAAGATTGAACAAAGAACAAAGACTATTTTTGCATACAGATTTGAACTTGATATGAGAATGAACATAAACTATTACAACCTTTTTTTCTTCACTCTCAGAAAGATGTAAATCTATGACTTTCCGATGAATTCCGAAATAAAGATTTAATTTTAAAGAATGTGAACAATAAATTATATTATCTGTAGTCGACCAACAGTAAGCGGTAAACCTCCATTCTTTTGAACCCACAGATTTGTTATTCATAAATATATATATTAGATGATTATAATTCAACAAACTCAAGACGAAACTCATTCTCAAAGAAAGAAGACGTTTCTAGGAACAAAGAGCACACCCCATTACCAAGAAAATTTTCAAAAATGAGTCCATTGTCATTCCATGCAGTTCACGTTCAAAAATCATGTTTTGCAATGATTATGTTATTGCATTTTGTATCATCCCTCACTGCCACTCCCAGAAATAAAACCGAGACTGATCGACTTGCCCTCCTAGCCATCAAGGAGAAGATCACAGATGACCCTCAAGGTGTTGTGAGCTCGTGGAATGCTTCTTCCCATTTCTGTGACTGGGAAGGGGTTATATGCGGTCGCCAACGCAGCAGAGTCATCATCATAGATGTTGCATTCGGAGGCTTAGCAGGCACTATATCTCCGTATATTGGCAACCTCACCTTCCTTCGAGGCTTGAGGCTCCAGAACAATACCTTTCACGGTGAAATCCCTCGCGAACTTGGTCGTCTTTTCAGGCTTCGAGAACTGAGATTAAGCAATAACAGCTTTGAAGGAGAAATTCCAGCCACCCTATCACGTTGCTCTGAGCTCACGTACCTCGACGTTGGTAATAATAACCTAGTTGGCGGCCTTCCAAAAGAGCTTTGTACCTTGTCAAAGCTTACGATTCTCGCCATTCATTCAAACAGTTTGACAGGAGGAATCTCATCTTTCATTGGAAATCTTACTTCTCTGAAAAGTTTATCTGCATCTAACAATCATTTTGAAGGAAGCATTCCAGATGTGTTCGGGCAGTTGAGAAACTTAAGAGAAGTTAGATTGAGTAAAAATAACCTCTCTGGTATTATCCCTCCATCTATTTATAATCTTTCTGCCTTAACTGTGCTCTCTTTGGGTTATAATCAACTTCATGGTAGTCTTCAGCAAGGCATAGGTATGATGCTTCAACATCTTCAAATCCTTCACCTACAAGGTAACCTATTTGCTGGACCGCTCCCACTCTCAGTATCCAATTTAACAGAGTTAGAGTCGCTTGATCTACAATTCAACTTTTTCACTGGAAAAATCACAACCAATTTTGGAGACCTAAAGAAGATTCGTCACGTATTGTTGGTTTCTAATAATTTTGGAAGTGGAGAACCTGATGAAATGAATTTCATTACTTCTATGATAAACTGTAGCAATTTGGAAAAATTGTGTTTACTTGATAACCAATTTGAAGGGGTGCTACCAAAGTCTGTGGGCAATTTCTCAACAAAGCTTTTGGCTTTAATACTAGGTAGAAATTTCCTGCATGGAACTCTACCTCCCACACTAGGTAATCTTATTAACTTAGATTGGTTAAGCTTGGAAGAGAATGGATTCACAGGCATAATTCCCACTTCCCTTGGCAATCTCCAGAAGTTAGGAAAATTGGCCCTTGGTAGAAATTATTTTTCTGGGATAATTCCCGATTCCATAGGAAACTTGTCGCGCTTAATTGAACTTCGCTTAGAGAATAATAGATTAGAAGGTACCTTACCCTCAAGTCTTGGAAACTGCCAAAAACTGTTGCTTCTAGATCTTTCCCAAAATAATCTTAGTGGAACCATACCCAAACAAATTTTTACACTTTCCTTTCTATCAATTTCACTAAATCTTTCTCAGAATCATTTACTTGGACCCCTGCCATCAGAGGTTGGCAACCTCAAAAGCTTAGTTGACTTGGATGTATCAGATAATAACATATCTAGTGACATTCCAAGTAGCCTAAGCAGCTGCACTAGCCTTGTATATCTACATCTGGAGGGAAACTCTTTCCACGGGTCTATTCCTGCATCATTGAAGTCTTTGAGAGGTCTTCTAACCTTTGATCTTTCTCGCAACAACTTAAGTGGACAAATACCAGAATTCTTGGGGCAATTGTCTTTGGCAACCTTGAATTTATCATATAACAACTTTGAAGGTGAGGTGCCAATTAAAGGAGTTTTCACAAACTCGAGTACCATGTCAGTTGTCGGGAATAATAGAATTTGTGGTGGCATATCTGAACTACAGCTACCTAGATGCACCAACAAAAAAATAAAGGACAAGATGCATCTTGTGTACATTTTAATTATCTCGGCAACGTCTACTCTTGTTGGGATAACCCTGGTGTCATGCCTCATATTTTGTTGGTTAAAAAAGAAAAGCAAAGCTCCATCTACAGGATCATCTATACGAGAGGGACTCTTGCGAGTATCTTATGAAGGGCTCCTTAAAGCCACCAGTGGATTTTCTCCGGTAAATTTGCTTGGTGTGGGCAGTTTTGGCTCTGTGTATAAAGGGATCCTTAATCAAGAAGGATCGATTATTGCTGTCAAAGTTCTTGACCTCCAGCGTCGTGGAGCTTCCAAGAGTTTCATGGCTGAGTGTGAAGCCTTGAGAAATATTCGACATAGAAATCTAGTCAAGATCATTACTTCTTGTGCAAGTGTTGATTTTCAGGGCAATGATTTTAAGGCTTTAGTGTATGAGTTCATGCCTAATGGTAATTTGGAAAGGTGGTTGCACTCAAGTGCAAAATCGAATGATAGACAGAACGAGCTTCCTAGCTTAAATCTTCTTCAAAGAATAAACATTGCCATTGATGTGGCTTCTGCACTTGACTATCTTCATAACCATTGTCAAAAGCCGATCATTCACTGTGATTTAAAGCCTAGCAATATCCTTATTGACCATGATATGGTTGCCCACGTGGGAGACTTTGGGTTGGCAAGGTTTCATCCAAGAATCACAAATACCATTCAAAGGAGTTCGAATGGAATAAGCGGAACTATTGGATACACAGCGCCAGGTAATCACAATACTCAATATACTTCTTTATATAATATCAATTGTCTATCCCAATATCACAATAACTATCAAAATTTTGGTTCAAGAGCTATTAATGGACTTCTTTTTAGCTAATGCAAATATCTTACTAATACAGAGTATGGTATTGGAAGTGAGATATCAACTAAAGGGGATGTTTATAGTTATGGTATCTGCTTGTTGGAGATGATGACAGTAAAAAGGCCAACGGACGACATGTTTCAAGAAGGCCTTAATCTTCATAACTTTGCTAGGATGGCTCTACCAGACAATGTGATAAAGATCGTGGACCAAGTGCCGTTGATGAATAATGAAGAAGAGGCATCAGTAACAGAAAACAATACTAGACAGAGCCAAAGCATAGCGAAGAAAATGGAGGAGTGTTTGACTTCAGTTGTGAAGATTGGAGTGGCTTGCTCGGTAGAGTCCCCACAAGACCGGATGAACATAAATGATGTTGTCCATGAGCTGCAATCTGTTAGAGACAAACTTTCACAGCACTGACCATTAGATGCCTAGAAATAACAAGTTTGCACACCGTCCTTTAGCATCTTTAATACGATCATTAAATGTAAATTTTAATATTAGATAAAATTTATTTTTAATTTAATAATTATAATTGATTAGGTTTGTAAATTATGTCTAAATTATATTTTTTATTTTCATATGAATTGTACCAAATATTTGGTTTTGTTAAGAGAATTGTTCACTATTTTATGCAACGTTATTGAACAAAATTGGACCGGTAATTTCTCATAATTTCTTTATTTTTTTTTGGGTTCGGAGTGTTTGAGCTAATTTATGTGTACTTCAATTAATCTTCTTCTCTCTTTGGTCAAAGACAGATCTTTTACACAGGGATTAGAGTATTCATGAGGAATAAATCTCTCATGACACAACGCCAAGAAATTGTCAAATTTTGAACTCAGAATATCTGAATTTACAACGCCTCTTTATTACCGCTTGAGCTTGAAATTAATTTCTCATAGTTTCAACATGTATTCTGATGTCAAACTTTTGAGCCTATGTATGTTGAATCTATTTAATTGCAATGCTTGATTTTTTGTTGACTCCTTGTAAATAAAAAAACGAGTACTAGCGGAATATAATTTTAATATTCGGCGTAATGGTAGCACTTTGTCACTATTAGTCTATTATTATGTAATGTCATTAATTTTTTTCTTATCAAGTATTATTAACATTAATTTTTGTAAAATAAGAGGATTATTTCACTTGTTTTTACTCTAATATAGATTTAGTGAATTTTTATTTTATGAAAAAAATCTATGATTGTGGGTTTGGTTGAGAAAAAATAAAGTATTAATTTTAAAATTTTAATTCACGAATTATACAAGTTAATCAAACCACAAAACGATGATAAATAAGTCAAATTAGTGTAAAAATATGTGATAAAATTAATTAAATAAGTTAAGATTAAAATTATTTAGGGCTCGACAAGAATTGTAAGTAAATAACTACTCAAATGAGGGACACTTTATTTATTTAAAAATTTATTATTAATTAATAATATTACGTGATAATATTTACGTGGTAAATATTTTTTTCCTAATTTCGGTTGTGCTCTCCTATTTTTTGAGGCTGGAAAACAAGTAGCTATATAAATGACCTTCGCGTCCATTAATACTCAGCATGAAAGAACAAGGGACGGAGAATGGGAGCCATAAGCGACACCCGCTTGATATCTTCATCGGCTCTTACATCTCCACTTGAGAATGGTGCGTTGTTCTTGTCCTTGCTGAAGAAGAATAAGCTATCTTCTTTCAATTTAATCAGGGTCTCAAGGAATTCTTTCAACTATAAAAGAATTTCTTGTAAACTCTCCGAGAGTGGAATTGAGATGAAACCTACAAGCAATGAAGTCTCAAGCAGCTCCAAGAACAAAATGGAAGAGTACAACATAGCCATGAAGAGAATGATGAGGAACCCCTATGAGTATCACCATGATCTTGGTACAGTTTTATTCTTCTCCACAGTTACTCTGCTTATTCACATCTCATTGTGTTCTCTTGAAATTCATCTGTTAGTTTTCTTTTGGGGTTGAATTGAATCTACCACATGATTATAATTCGCTATCAGAAGAAGAAATGACTTGGGTTTAATTTATCTTATCCAAGCAGTTCTGGGTTTTGTTATTCTTGTGTTTTATGTGAGTTTAAAATCTATCTTAGAGGTTAATCTAGTGTGGTTATAGGATTTTTGCTTCTTTACATTGTTATTATATAGTCCTTGAGTGTGTACTGAGATTGAGCTAGTGGATAGACAATTCAGATCTTTTGCACTCTCTGAAACTAGTCATTTCTGGTCGATTTTTACCTTTCAAGTTCACTGTACACCTTTTGGAATTAGATTTGTTTATGCCCAACTCTCTACAGTAAAACATAAGATATGGATGATGTATAGAAAAGTGGATCTAGATCTGTTAAATATACTCTTTTTAATAGGTAATGTCACATGGATTGAGTATAGAATATGGGTCCTTTTCCAGAGGAGGTTATGCCTCTTTAACACCTCCTCTCCAAAATCCCCAATAACACCCTCAAAAAAATTGAAAATGAATAACTTTACTAATTTACTTTTACCCTGGACAATGCTAATACCTTTCCTTTCCTTTTTTCAATTAACAACTAATCATCATCAAATTTAGAGAAATGGGTCCCTTCATTCTCACCTCAAGCCACTAAATGGCTTCTGTAGGATGCCATCATAAGTTCCATTCTAATGAATTAAGCATGGTCATGTAGCTTTAGGACATCTGAACAACGTCACAGGTGATCATCATATATGCAACTGGCACCATAATCATTTGTTAATTTTTTTACTTTAGCTATTGACGTTAGTGAGGCAGTTTCTTTCTTTTTATTGTAAATACCACATAAATCAAATAAGTTCACATTATTTGTGAAGAGGGATTTGCATTTGATAATCTCTGTTCATGAAGTCAAATATTTCTATGCAGTTTCTTGTTGAGAAAGTCCATGAGAAGTTAAGGGTGTCTTTCAGGGATCTAACAAGTCTTATATTGGCTTCAGGCATGAACTATACATTGATTACTGAAACCCTGATCGTGGGTTCCCAACCTCAGAAAGTTGAAGACATAGATCATCTGAAACAGGAACAGAATGTTGCCTACATTCTTAACTTGCAGCAGGACGGAGACATTGAGTATTGGGGAATAGACCTGCAGTCTATAGTCAACAGATGTAAAGAACTTGGAATTCGTCACATGAGAAGGCCTGTAAGCAAATCTTTCCTTAGTTGTAAGCATTCTCAACAAAGGAGACCATAAAGTAAAACATTGATGGAAATCAAATGGGGAACTATGTTCTATAAGGTATTTGGCCCCTTGAAATTTGCATGTTCACAACTTGTGTTTTAAAACTAGGTCCACATGCCCAGAAGCAGCCAAGGCTACACAAAAGATTGCACTTTACTTATTTTGAATTCGTGTAGGATTGATGTATTATTTTTTTCAACTTATGGATGCTATCATGCAGTCTTAAATTTCTTCATTGTTCACTCTATATGGTTCTTCCTCATATGAACACATGCTCAAATGTGTCTTTGTTTCCTTGTAAGTAAATTCACAAGCGCAAAAGAAGTAAAGCCCTAGTGCTTGATTCTGGATTCTTGGCAGTTGCCTTGTCTGACTTACATGTTCCAAAACTAGAGTGTTTTGCCTTTAGGTAACATGGAGTGAAGCAATTAAGAAGGATATGGATGTACGCAAGTAAGTATAACATCCAATCCTCGACAAAGTAAAAATGGCGAAAAAAGATACATGTAAGCTGACCCTAAAAATGTGGGAGAAACCTTTGCTTGGTTTGGTTTTGTTGCATTTCAGAATTTTGCATACTATCTTTGTCTTATGATCATTGGCAGGCAAGAGATTTTGATCCAGATTCCTTGAGAAGTGGATTGCCTAAAGCTGTTTCTTCCTTGGAATGGGCCATTTCAGAGGGAAAAGGAAGAGCATATGTGCATTGCACTGCTGGATTGGGCAGGGCTCCTGCTGTTGCAATTGCTTACATGTTTTGGTTTTGTGGCATGGATGTAAGTCCTTTGACTCCTCAATATGTCAGCCCTTATCTCATTTTTCTCGATACTTATTAATCGTAATGAGTAGGGGGTTGAAGTTTAAATAACTTTAGATTCTAAAAAATAATCTCATTTTATGAGTTATTGAGGGATTTGATCAAAGCTATTTGTAGTTTTTCATGTTGTGGTTTCTGGTAATGGAACAGCTAAATATGGCATACAGTACACTTACTTCAAAGAGGCCTTGTGGACCTAGTAAAAGAGCAATACGTGGGGCTACTCATGACTTAGCCAAAAATGATCCCTTGAAGGAGCCTTTTGAGAGTCTTCCAGATTATGCTTTTGAAAATACAGCAGATTGGGAGAGAAAACTTATTCAGGGTCGCATCCGCTCCCTCCGCGGAACTTGAGTATGCTGGTAAATTTTATGTTTTTTTTTAATGTCTTATACAATATGTATCGATGAAAGTCACAAAGGTCATAAGCCTCTTATGATTGCAATTATAATGCGCCAAAAGCAATGAACATCATAAAATATCAGACTAGTTCAGAGTAGATAGTTTTATTTTCCTTCTCTGCAAAAATGGAAAATATTTGTCTTCAACCTTCTAATAATCATATGAATCTTCGAACAACTCTTACATATATTGTAACTGTATGCATGCTGACAGTTATTCTCGTGTCCCATCAGGTCTGTTGCGTATTAGAAGTGATCTTGAGGTCAGTTTTCTAAAGCGCATATAGAAAAGATGAAGCTAGGAGTGATATACCTACATGGCTTTTAAGCCTATTCATGTTCATTTCAAGTACAAATATTGCATCAAAGGACATCTTCAAGAGTTAGAGCAGCACACCAATAAATCTATGGCTCTCATATGGAGCAGAACGGCTGAGGAGGAAGCCTTTTATTTGTAAGACCTTTACATAAGATTGATATATTTAATAGCTAAAGAAACATTTTGGTGATTCTTCTTTTATATTCATGGCAAGTATATAGAGAAGTTTGACAGTGACGGAGCTATGTTTTGCCCATGGCCCCCTTATTGACAATTTTGTGCATAATTAAAATTCAGCAACTTGAGCAAAACGTCACCAATTTGAATGACTGATAGTGCAACAATGTAATATGTTCAAAGTAATAATCGACTAATTGCATAATTTCCAAGTTCAAAATATGTTTACCCAACTTTACATTTATAGGGTCTAAAATTTTTTATATAATATATATTTTTGGCAAATCGACACGTTTTTTTTTTCATTTTGTCTAGTTTTTCACTCTTCTTGAGGCATCATAAAATTTTATTTTATTTCAGAGATCTAATGACTGAAATGAAATCAACCCCAATTTGTGGATTTTATATGAATTGATCTGAAATAATTTTTAATCTAATTAATTTGACGAGTTTGAATTAATTTTTTCCATTTTGTTAAAAACAGAAAACATTATTTTGTATTGTATAAAAATTTATTTTCTTAGGTTTTATTCAATGAAATATTCGACATTAATGATAACCCATTAAATAAAAATTTATGTTTACACTATTAATGATAAAATTCTAGTTCCGTCTCTGCGGACCATGAAGTATTATTCACTTCAATCTCCTTCCATATATTTTTTTAACTCTTAATGATGAGTTGCCCATCATGAATTCAATACTGTATGCTTGCAAGCCTCAAAATTTTGAAAATTTATCAGAACAATTACAAGGTCGTCTCAGCTTTTTCGTAACCAGAGGATTACACAAATGACGGAACAAGATTCATGTTAACCGACGACTTCAAAAACATTGAAATAAGACTTTTATTGAGTTGAGTAGAATTGACGACTACACGTAAGTCACCATTAATCTCTGGTACCATATTCGTCTTCTACCTAGAGAGCCCAAAGCCTCAGCAACCTGTTGATGTTTTATACCACACCTTATTACTAGGCTTTTGTAGTTTTCGTTCCGACAGTACCTCTCTCATCTCCCAACTTTTCACCTTCAAACTTCAGCAGATGATGTATTGAGGCCAATACCATATAGTTGGCCCCAGGTGAATGCTATCAGCAAAGAAACACGCCCACACACACACACACACATCCATAAAGTACATCAAATGACATTGTGCTTGCCCTCCCATTAGAATCTAAAATTCTAGCAGAAATTATCAACAAATTGTGTTATATCTTTGGTATCTATATTCTACAAAAGGTGTACATAAAATTTGATTTACGGGAAATGTCAAGTGGGTGAGGTGGTATGCAACTTTGCAAGTTGTGTTTGTCTCCGTCCTAAATGGAACGCTGTTAGTATCCACAAGAAGCAGACCTGATGGAGGCCAAATAGAAGAAACAAGAAAGCTTCACTTTTCTTGGCAAGAGAAGATGCAAAGCAGAAAACTTACTTTCCTTTCAATCATATACAATATAATAAATCAAAAGTAATACTTTACATACCGGGAGGGCATAGAGAGACACGTTTGATTTTCTGCCGCTAAAAGTGCTGAAGAGCAGCTTGTACATTCCAGCTGCGGTAGCATCTCCAAGCCTTTGAACAATCACATCTATGCACACCTGTAGAGTCATGTTTATGCTCAATTCATGAAAAGAAACTAGATGCATTTTTCTCTTACTCAGACATAACACATTGACCAGACCTCATACATGCATCATAATGTGGTGACATAAATTAGACTCCGGAATGAGATGTCAAAGATTTATTTTTGTTACTTTGAAAAGAAGCTACTTGGGAAAAAAGCGAAAATTTCTGATATGAATGAACTGATGGAACCATGGAGCTGATACCTATGTTTATTCATCTTCAACAGAACATTTTCAATTACTTCAAAATAAACAAAGGAAAATATCAAATCCAAAAGGGAGTTCATACCTTGGCCTTGTATTTCTCCTCCTGTGAGACAACAGTGAAAAGGAGTTCTCTTGCTGGCCTGGTTACAACATAAGTAACCACCTAAAGAATGAAAAAGCAAAATGTTAAAACTTTCTTTGCTTTGGTATCATTGAATGACGTTAGATTCAGCTTCCCTGAAAATATACCCAGCCAACCCTCTAAAAAACTAAACAGAGGAGTCCCTAGTAATAATCACTCTAGATAACTGATCACTAGATAAGAAAAGCATAAGAGGCATAAACCAGGCAGTTATGAAAGACAAACCTTCCGCAAGGTCTCACAGACAGCAACTGCAATCCAGGTTGGCCACACCGCTATAGCAATTAAATTTAAGAAGGCAACAATTGGTGCAGAGCAAATGGCTGCAGTGACCCCAGCAAAAGTAAGGATACGCCCCTGTACTTAAAGGTGAGAAAATGAATTAAACAGTTTGCATCAACAATAAACTATACCTCATTCCAACTTACGGAAAAAGGAGTTGTAAATAGTTGTACACAAACAAAATACTGGAAAATGAACGGAAAAATCACAACGTTCATTCAAAACTTGAAATTAACAATCAGAAATTTGAAGCTGGAAATAAAGGCAAAGTATGGAAGGTTTATCCTGGAGCTTAACTTACTGGGTGAAAATTTTTTAAAAAATCATATTTCCACTCAAGAGCACAATTACATATATATATAGTACATGCAAAGCCACCAGGTGAATTCCAGAATGCTATCACAAAACTGTAAGTATATTACCAAGTTTTTTGCATGTAATTGTAGGCAGAGCAATTTATACAAAATTATACTCCTATAGCCAAATCTTCTAAAAAAGTGTCCCTCACTTGCCCCTTATATTTTTAAATCAAGTGATTGTCATGGTATCACTAAACTCCAGTAGCACTCACCAGATTTGATCACACAGGAATTTCTCGAAAGCAGTAGCGTCCTAGTAAATGCATAAAAAGGCAGGCATTCATAACCATTCAATGAGTGGCAGTATGGGACTAAGAATCACTCTATTCCAAAATGAGAAGCTTTTCATGACACATGCAGGCTTAAACCAGGATACAAAATGCAGTACACAGATGCTTGACCTTTTGGGTTCTAAAAAAGAGGAGGGCTCAGCAGAAAATGGAAAGGGGTGGGGAGCTGGCAGAGACGAAGAATAAGTAGAAACTTTTTATGTACTGAAACGCCTATATATAGCAATTGCAATCATAAAACTAGCTTTACAATGCACACCATCAGGAGCCAAGAAAAAAATATGCTATGAGACACTTGTCATTTCTTTGCTCTAGCTACTAGGTTTAACTTCAAAGCAAACATTATTAGCATACCGTCAAAGTAAGTTGTCCAGTAAGGATAAAAATTGCAATAAAGCTATTGATCTGTGCAAATAATCTTCTTCTGCCAACAGGACTTGCAACGGTAGTAGCAATCACAGTTACTTTCTGCAGTAGAAGGGAAAAAATAAGGGTGGCAGAGATTAAAAATAGAATTGATCATCTGTTAGAGAGAGAGAGAGAGAGAGATTACAAAATAAATCTGTGAGTAAGAAAGCCAATTCTTACCTGAAAATAGAAGAATGAAGAAACAACTGCGCTCAGCCACAGGAACAATGACACATACAGCAAATAAGTTGACGACACTATAAGCCGTAGTCCATCCAATATAGCCCAGAGCTGGGGCTTTGCCATAGCAGTAGATAATCTTGGGGAAGATCCTTTAACAGCAGGCTTAGTTTGTTCATCTACCTCATTACATTGATCAAGACCAGGTTTTCTATGAACCAAAACAAGTCAGTCAGGCAACAGAAGAATGTCTAGCCCTTAAACGACCCCTCATTTAAAAACAGCTATTTAAGATCAATCACAAAGCCTTGCGAAAAAATATAAATTCAAATATGAAAAATCCAATTAATGGCACATAGAATTTATAATCACGGCAAACTAAATACACATCACATTAAGTGCATGCCAGGCCATACATGTTGACAGTTGCAATTTCATCCAATAGCTACTTGTGCAAAGAAAATTAGTTATATCCAATGCATTTAATAAAACCTTCTATCATTATAGTTTTAGACATGCTTGATATATTTATGTAAAGACGTATTTATAACCACCACAATGAACCATACCACCCATCCACTCAAAATAAAACGCAAAAAGAAAAGCAACTAACATAAATAAGAAGGAATGACTAGTTAAAGAATAGCAAACACCTACAAGATCATGCAAAGGAAACACTTGAGCTTTACATACTTAGATATCTTATCCTTACCATTGTGTGTGTGTGTGTGAGAGAGAGAGAGAGAAAGAGAGGACACTATTAATAGGCATGAATAATAAGACTATTAAAAACAGTGGCATACTATTTATAATCTATTCTGAAATTAGCAAAATGCAAATTTTTCCTGAAAGATCGTACTTTAAAGCCTGTCAACTCAAGAAGAATCAAACAATATCTGGTTGTGTATTTAGAACAGAACCTATATAAAACAAAGAGACCATGATAAATATAGAAAAGTACATCAATTTATAGTCAAACAAAAACATGTAGCAGGAGGATTAAGAAATTAATAGAACCTGATGAGAGATAGTTCCTCAGGGAGATGGGACATATCCTTGCTAATCCTTTTTGATGACTGCGCGGCAAGTTCCATCAATAGAGCAGCAAATAGGAGTAAATCTGACGGAAAAAAAAATAAAGTTGCAAGAAAGACAAAGAGAAGCAACCACAAACAAAAAACAGAACATCAAAAGAAACACAAAAGTAAATGTAATGCACACCCAAGTTCCATAAGACAAAGAATGCTCACGTACAGGGTCCCAACCAAGCCATTCCCGTGGCAAACAATGAACCAAAAAGCTGTCCAAATGTAGCACCAGCGCCAATGAACCCAAACAATCTTGAACCTGACTGAACACCGGACAGAGTTGATATATGCACAGAACTATCAAGAATACTAAGTTCTATGCAGCTGCACACTGACCTCACTGTCCATTACATCAATTACTCTGGCCCAAGTAGAAGATATAGTGATGAGATTAAGCAGAGCCACCTGTCAAAAAGGTGAAAATACCTATAAAGCGAAAAAATTTGGAATACTCAAAAACCTGATCAAGATAATCATGAGTAGCTTAAATCAAAATCAAACACCTTCGTACCCAAAGGAACAAGCCAATTCTCACTGAAATGTAAAACCATCCATGGTTACCCCAACCAGCAAAATGTGGAGAACTGGTTTGATTCACTTCAACCTTTAGTTCTTCTTTTATAACAGAAGACGTGGAAATCAAATTCTAAAGTGAAAAGTCAATCCAGTAAAAACCCCATGAGAAACAACAAAAAAATCCAGTAATAAATTGGAGATCCTAGCGCCACGGACATCTCATCTTACCTTGAAATTGGATAGTGAATTTCCAGGTGAAGAATAACTCCATAGAATGAAGAATATGACAAGGGACGCACTGAAAAACCTGTGTATTAAGATCAAAGCCTGGAATTTCAAGAAGCACTAATTACAAAATGATACCTGAAGGACCCCAAATTCACACTGCTAATAACCAATCACCACTCTTGGAACTGAATGTTTCTCGAAGGTAATGCACAGAAATTACATGAAATTGAATAGATAAAAATGATTTTCTGATACCTTTGCTTTGGAAAGGTTTGGCAATGAGAAGATGAGTGTCGAAACAGGGGCGGCAATCAATGTGAGTGCCAACGACCCCATGAAAAGGCCCGGTAGATTCCCTAACCCTAATGATATCGCACCCTCATCACGCAAAGGAAGAACCACAAAGTATGCACTTAAAATCTGCACATCAATAACTCAACCACTATCATACAGCACGAAAATCTACGGTTTCAAACAAGAACACAAAATCAAAATAAATCTCAGCAGAATGAAGCATCGCAAAATCTGAGATTCACAATTTTACAGTACACTCCGGAACGAAACAAACAAAAGCGTTAGGGTTTGAAGACTTACGAAGAAGAAACAGGAGGTGGAATAGAATAATGCGGATGTCTCGTGGGGATGAACAGTGACGAACAACGACACGATTGCTTCTATGCGAGACCTCCCAATCATTTCTCCCTCTCTCTCTCTCTCTCTCTCTCTCTCTCTCTCTCTATGTTCCAATCGATCTATGGATATTCGTACCTAACAGTGAAGTATGGAATCTGAATTGATCGGAGAGAGAGATTTGGATTTTCCTGAAGAATTCTGTGGAACTAGCTCCACCGTCATTGTTCAGTTCGAAGGTCGCGACGAAAACGAGGAGCAAGAAAGCAAGAGTGAATGTCACTTTGAACCTTGAAAGATTGAAGAATTTTTATTTTGTAATTATAAAGATAAATTTTTTTACATTATACCCTAAATTTGTTAAAAATATTATAATGTAACTTTTTTCCAAATAAGCAACAGAAGTTACTAGAAGAACTATATTATAATACTTTTAATATATTGAAGACATAATGTAATATCAAATTTTAAAGATATAAAATAAAAATAAATAAATTTTTTTGAGGTGAAAACTGAAATTGTCCCAGAAAGCAAAGCTTTGGAATTCATATAACTTTAAGTTTGTTATTTTACATGGCCTTCTATTTATGTTAATTATTGTTTGAACCTCGATATTATTCTTGAACTTCAAAGAAACCACTATTTGTGGGGAATGTAAAAATGCCGCCGGCTACCACTTTTTATGAAAAAGTTATTCTCCGTGGGAAGGACATGACCGATCACACGTCCATGATCGATTATAAATTTTTTTTGGTACATTTATGATTGATGCCTCGTAAAATTGTGACTTATTTGTCAAAAAAATTATAAATTGAGTTTTAAAAAATTATAATTTTTGATATAATACTACCAACGATACTATAGTATTTTCCCTTATTTGTCATTGTGTTCATAAAAAAATCACCATTAAGTTTATAATAACAATAACGATGAGTTCAACAATAACAATAATAATGTCTAAAATTTTGGAGCACAAGGATTACATTTAGCTAGACTAAATAGTGATATTTGGAGGCTTGGGGCATCAAATTGAAGCTTTTTAGCCATCATGCTAGGATAGATACAGGCAGACAAATATTATGAATAGTTGCAGGTACAAAATTGGATTCAAGGTCTTTTAACAACTGGACCCTTCATATAAATATGATGAGTTGGAGATTACAACACTGGAATTTAGGACAGATAGTTCTTATAGCAGCATTTCTTAGGAAAGAAAACAGATCCACTAGAATTACAGAACAATTTACAACATTCATATCCCTTTTTTTTACGTAGTTCCCTGGAATCTCTCCCTTCNCTCTCTCTCTCTCTCTCTCTCTCTCTCTCTCTCTCTATGTTCCAATCGATCTATGGATATTCGTACCTAACAGTGAAGTATGGAATCTGAATTGATCGGAGAGAGAGATTTGGATTTTCCTGAAGAATTCTGTGGAACTAGCTCCACCGTCATTGTTCAGTTCGAAGGTCGCGACGAAAACGAGGAGCAAGAAAGCAAGAGTGAATGTCACTTTGAACCTTGAAAGATTGAAGAATTTTTATTTTGTAATTATAAAGATAAATTTTTTTACATTATACCCTAAATTTGTTAAAAATATTATAATGTAACTTTTTTCCAAATAAGCAACAGAAGTTACTAGAAGAACTATATTATAATACTTTTAATATATTGAAGACATAATGTAATATCAAATTTTAAAGATATAAAATAAAAATAAATAAATTTTTTTGAGGTGAAAACTGAAATTGTCCCAGAAAGCAAAGCTTTGGAATTCATATAACTTTAAGTTTGTTATTTTACATGGCCTTCTATTTATGTTAATTATTGTTTGAACCTCGATATTATTCTTGAACTTCAAAGAAACCACTATTTGTGGGGAATGTAAAAATGCCGCCGGCTACCACTTTTTATGAAAAAGTTATTCTCCGTGGGAAGGACATGACCGATCACACGTCCATGATCGATTATAAATTTTTTTTGGTACATTTATGATTGATGCCTCGTAAAATTGTGACTTATTTGTCAAAAAAATTATAAATTGAGTTTTAAAAAATTATAATTTTTGATATAATACTACCAACGATACTATAGTATTTTCCCTTATTTGTCATTGTGTTCATAAAAAAATCACCATTAAGTTTATAATAACAATAACGATGAGTTCAACAATAACAATAATAATGTCTAAAATTTTGGAGCACAAGGATTACATTTAGCTAGACTAAATAGTGATATTTGGAGGCTTGGGGCATCAAATTGAAGCTTTTTAGCCATCATGCTAGGATAGATACAGGCAGACAAATATTATGAATAGTTGCAGGTACAAAATTGGATTCAAGGTCTTTTAACAACTGGACCCTTCATATAAATATGATGAGTTGGAGATTACAACACTGGAATTTAGGACAGATAGTTCTTATAGCAGCATTTCTTAGGAAAGAAAACAGATCCACTAGAATTACAGAACAATTTACAACATTCATATCCCTTTTTTTTACGTAGTTCCCTGGAATCTCTCCCTTCTTAGTCTCTCAAGTTCCTTGACCAATTGCCAATGTTCCAATGTCAGACAGATTTCACCAAAACTCGCAGACATTAACCGTCCCATTGTCAGCCATCTGTGAGACAATATTATCTCATCTCCACAAAATTGCACAAATCAAATGGAAACCAAATGCTGAAAAGTCGAAAATCTAATACTAACCTGCTGAAGTCTTGGCTGCCTAAGCTCCGATCTGCTTGCCTAGCTGCAACTAAGTCATCTTCTACCACCTACAGTAACAGTAAGTATCAGTAAATATCAAGGTCAAAATGATTCCTATCCCAACAATATGTCTAAGAAAGAACAGCCATGCAACTTCAATTTAGTAAAGAAAACGTGGGTCCAGCACAGAATTTTAAATCCCTTAATCCAGGAGTCCACCCTTATAAATTGTTGCCCAAGTCCTTGTTGAATGAATTCAGGAAATGAATAGCATCCAAAGGGGTGATTTTCATTGAAGTTAAAACACACAAGGATAAATGAACTGGATCAAGGGCTTGTGCTTATGATGGCTACACTACTCATCCTCTTATTAGGGTCAATTGCCTGACCCACTAAGTGTTTCAGAAAAACATGCCCTTGTGCATAATACCTTCGGGCAAGCTCCGACAGAAATCTGATGTTACATTCTTCTGAACGTTTGATCACAACTACAAGCCACCGGTTATTTTTGCACATGGCGCAATGACTGCAATTTTTGTACACGGATGTGGGTGTATACACATGACTCTTGGTTATAAACTGACTTGTTGAGGAACTCCACAGAATTGGGAATTAGAATACTAAAAGGTCAAGGTATATATTCTGTGAAAAAGAAAACAATGTTGCATGAGAAACCATCTGGTCAGACTCAGCACAGCTTACATAGCCTTGATTGGAAAGACTTGGGTAATCATAACATCTCATTCCATGTTTGATTCTAATCTTCATATAAGGTCATGTAAGACTATTCCTAATGTGATTCCTAATGTGACCTTTGCTTGCTGCATACCCATTTCCATCAGAATACAATAACATGATATAACCTTGTTGGAAGACCATATGGACCAAAACAAGGGTGAAAAATTGGTGTGCTACAGCAAGCAACATTGGTGCAATGTTTCAGCCAAAAGCAAGATGAGAATTCCGTATGCCATTATGATTTATGACACCTAAGTGAAGGAGATCCATACCTAACATTTTTGGTATTGCCTCAAGTCCCAGCATTATGTCACCCAGATTAACGTGTCCAAGTCTTAAATTGTCAACTTGCCTGACTTGATGAGATGGCTAGAAACCTCATTTCTGGGTAATAAAAAATTTAAGAAGTGTCCGCTCCCTAGCATACCCATGACTGCATCTCATTGCAAACATAAAGTTTGTACTAGAGATGAAAGTTGCTTAATTCATACCTTCTGCATTTCTGGCTCAATTGAATGTGGCAACGATCTGAGTGTAGCCAGGTACCATCTCCAAGCTTTCAATGTTTCTGCATCCACAACTTCAGAGGAATCCACTGAAGATGGATGGAAAGGCAGAACTAGATCAGCAGGCAGAATATTTGATTTCCCCTCAGAGACAATCAGCAATTGAATATCTGCCGCCATCTCCATTTTATAGTACGTGAAATCATACTCCACCTGATAAAACCAAGAAAAATTAAATACATCTATAATATATAAGAAAGCATCTGTAAATTCAATCAAAAGCAATCTGAAAAGGACAAGCACCCCATAAAATCTGGAATATACCATAAGAAAGAACATATAGGATTTTTTTTTTATCTAGTACATGTAAAAATTACTTCTCAGACTTTTAAATTCAAGGTTAAGCTATACAAGCATGGCACAATTTGAAAATTACCTTTTGCAACTCCACTAGGTTCTTTAGAGTTCTTGCATTATCAACCCCAGTAGAGTTGAGAGTCCCTGCTTGTAATTGGGTCTCATCGATTGTTAAGTGCGAGCCGTCAGCTAACTGCAGAACTCCAGACACCAGTCTAGAGCAATAATCATAGTGTTGAAAAAAAACATTAGACAATGTCCCATACATTGAGACATTACTAACCAGGAACATTTCTTCCCAGTTTTCAAAGTTAGAATTCTTCTTTTCATTAGAAATTGATAGCCCAAATTTAATATTCTAATTACCTGTTTGCTTGATAATCCTTTCTTGGGGCAAGTGTAACAGAGTTGAGATAATCCACTGTAAGAGGAATACATTGTGTGAAAGGTACAAGGTTGTTGATTGCAAGGTTGAGTCCATTCCCAAATACAGACACAGTTTCCTTGCTAAAAGAGGTAAGATTCAACGAAAACTTCCCCACAGCCAGTGAGTCTACCCTAGCATGCACCTGCAATAATAAAACTTGTTATTTATGCTCAGAAGTGTGCCAGAAATATGCCGGGAGGATGAAAAAATTTGAGCCCCCTGGAATGTTTGAAATCAGATGCTTTAGCATAAGAAATTGCAAGCTGAGATATGAAGATATGAATATGATAGTATGGATGTTATCACACGTGATATTAAATTAAAACCATGATTGTAAGACGTATTGGTATACCCTAGACAAGAGATGCAATAACACGAATTGAGCTGCCACCGCATCATTTCCAAGGACATCTGTAAGATGTCTCAGCAGTCCTTCCCTTACCCCTTTAACCAAATGAGACTTTGGCTGCAGGATCACAAAATAAAAGCTTAGCTGAGATAAGTGGCAACTGGAAGCAGAACCCAAGGAAATAAGCATACAGATAAATAAAGAAATTAGGCAGAATAACTATCAGTCATATAGAGATATGTTGGTAAAGTTCCACTTACCTCCAATGTGTGGGAGCCAGAAAGAAAGTCATGAATTGCAAGCTTTCGGTGCACAAGACAATGGAGCNTAAGCTATACAAGCATGGCACAATTTGAAAATTACCTTTTGCAACTCCACTAGGTTCTTTAGAGTTCTTGCATTATCAACCCCAGTAGAGTTGAGAGTCCCTGCTTGTAATTGGGTCTCATCGATTGTTAAGTGCGAGCCGTCAGCTAACTGCAGAACTCCAGACACCAGTCTAGAGCAATAATCATAGTGTTGAAAAAAAACATTAGACAATGTCCCATACATTGAGACATTACTAACCAGGAACATTTCTTCCCAGTTTTCAAAGTTAGAATTCTTCTTTTCATTAGAAATTGATAGCCCAAATTTAATATTCTAATTACCTGTTTGCTTGATAATCCTTTCTTGGGGCAAGTGTAACAGAGTTGAGATAATCCACTGTAAGAGGAATACATTGTGTGAAAGGTACAAGGTTGTTGATTGCAAGGTTGAGTCCATTCCCAAATACAGACACAGTTTCCTTGCTAAAAGAGGTAAGATTCAACGAAAACTTCCCCACAGCCAGTGAGTCTACCCTAGCATGCACCTGCAATAATAAAACTTGTTATTTATGCTCAGAAGTGTGCCAGAAATATGCCGGGAGGATGAAAAAATTTGAGCCCCCTGGAATGTTTGAAATCAGATGCTTTAGCATAAGAAATTGCAAGCTGAGATATGAAGATATGAATATGATAGTATGGATGTTATCACACGTGATATTAAATTAAAACCATGATTGTAAGACGTATTGGTATACCCTAGACAAGAGATGCAATAACACGAATTGAGCTGCCACCGCATCATTTCCAAGGACATCTGTAAGATGTCTCAGCAGTCCTTCCCTTACCCCTTTAACCAAATGAGACTTTGGCTGCAGGATCACAAAATAAAAGCTTAGCTGAGATAAGTGGCAACTGGAAGCAGAACCCAAGGAAATAAGCATACAGATAAATAAAGAAATTAGGCAGAATAACTATCAGTCATATAGAGATATGTTGGTAAAGTTCCACTTACCTCCAATGTGTGGGAGCCAGAAAGAAAGTCATGAATTGCAAGCTTTCGGTGCACAAGACAATGGAGCCGAGGCACCTGTGAAAAGGATTTGATAAAACAAATTTTGTTACCAGCCTTAAAAAAAAAAAAAGCTGCCATGGAAAGGCAATAATTTAACTTCATGTACTTGAACTAACAAGATCCAAACTCATGATGCACATGAAGATATTGACACAAAAAAAAAATACGCACCAGCTGTGTGAATTGAACCATAAAATCCAAACATGATCCAGGCCGATATGATTTTTTGAGAAACAACTTTTCAATCTTGTTTTATACAATCAGAATTCTTGCCCTTAACATGTATCAATTTTAGTCAATATTAATATTAAAAGAGTCTGTATCCCACATTGATTAATTAGGACCACCAATGTTGGTTTATATACTTACTCCACCCATTGCAATTGATTTTTGGTTGGATGCTGTAACATAGTATCAAAGTGGAGCCTTGAGTGGTCAGTGGGTCAAATTTCTTGCCCATTTGAATTTTCCAGTATGCATGGTTGTTTATTTGTTGGTTGACCCCAAGTGCAAGCTAGGGTCCCACGTGAGGGAGTGTTAAGAGAGCTTGTAACCCACCCGTTCAAAAAAAATTGCAATATGTTCACTATACTTCACCTTTTCTACAAATTTCTCAAGATTACATGGAAGTAGTTATTGTTGAGACAAATCAAGATCCTAAAATGACAAAGATCTTGTAATCCAATCTTTGAGTTGTTCAAATTTGGAGCTTCACCAAGTCAAGTTGTATAAAGAAGGGTTGGGTGTGTGTATGTTTTTTTTTTTTTTTTTTGTGGGGGGGGGACCCAATTTGATTTTCTTTGATAGAAACACATGAAAATTTTATTAATAAGCAAATGTTTAAAGTACATGAGAGGACAAGGAGTCCTTAAAAGGGAAAAGAAAACAAAATAACAAAGCTATAAGCTTAACTTAAAATACATAATAAGATAAGCAAGCCTCAACAATCATCACACACTTGAGGCCCATGATTCTTAATAAAAAAGGGTTTCCTTCAGAATCAGTTTGATTTGAACTCATATTGTCAAAATAACATTCAATTCCAATCTATAATTATGGTATTATGGCACAACATATCATCTTGTTACACGAGGGAGAAAAGAAAAAGATTTCTTCTTGTAGTGCATACAATAACTAAAAGGATGAAGTAAAAAAGTGAGGCTGAGGTTGATAACTGGATTATTTGGTCAAATGGTGTTATCTTTAATGTATATCATGTGTTGGTTGCATTTCAACAGCCCTAAGGATTTGTCGTTTTGGATTTTTATTGAATCCAGGCAACATAAAAAAATGGTATTCCTATATATCCAAGGAGTAAGTAAAACAACCTTGCTAGGAGGCAGATGAACCAATGCATCCTCAAAAAAACCATTCAGTGACTCATCAGATTTATCTTTGTCTGTCGTAACCTCTGGATCAAAAGTGAGGACGCCAATGAACTCAAAAACATCATTCAGCTTCAATTCAGACTCTACAGAGTCATATATCTACACAATCAAAATTTCATGAGAAATAGGGAAACCAGTCTTAGGATGTAGGAGTTAGGAGAGCATAATCACGAATTCCATCCTAAAATGAAATAAAAAGATCAAACTCACCTTCACTAGACAGGGAAAAGAATTTCTCTCAAAATCAGGCCCCATACACACATCAGAACAAGTTCTCTCAACTGAAGACTCTTGTGGATAAGTAGACTGGGAAGGGACTCCATCCCCTCGCTGAAACAGACAAAATTTGGATGGAAGAAAAATTCAGTCATATATAGGATGCATATACCAAACTAAAACCACGCCAACATTCCAAGGAAGGTTTCCTATAGAAGTGAAACACTCTCGGACAAAATCCTATTTGACCTTCAAATGTATGCATCACTTCACTGTGAAATATGATTCTGTGTGTATGGTTTACGAAGAAGCAAATGAAAAAATGCAACTTCTTTTAAGATTAGAACCTTCAACTTGAGTCACAAAATAGGCTGTCAGAATTATAGGGTTGAATACAACAATAACAATGGCATGAGGGCACTCTACAAGAACTATATTTGTTGATTTAAAATGCCACCCTCACTCGTTGAAATTCACAACCAAGGAAATTGTGGTTCATTGCAGATAATTAACAGGGCTGCACTTTTCATCACGAAAAACCTATCAGATTAAATAAAAAATATATCTTCCCATGACACGATACTATTGGTGATTACAATATGACCACGACTTACAAATGTTAACAAACTTATCCTACCTTTTGGTTTGAATAAGACTCCTTGAATATAAGTACTAGAATATTAAGTACTCCACTCAGCCTCCCCCTACCCGAAAAACTCTAGAGTGAAAAAGCAGTGGAGAGGGGTGCACAAATAGAAATGAAAGAAAGAGAAAACACAGTCAATTAAATTATCTCTGCTTACCATCTTTTTCGTGCATTGGGAACCCTCAAACTCGTGATCTAAGGCCTGCCATTAAATCACAATATGTCAGATATGTATGCTGAGAACTAGCAACTCCAACTAAAGATAGCAAAAGCCTGCATGTGTATATAAGCAATCGAGGTACTATCTATAGCCTAAAAGATCTTGCACATGGGAAAGTAGTATGGCCCTGGCCTCTGCATGGATGCAAAGTTCACATAACAAGTAGTTCAAGGGCTTCTCAACCCATCTACCTAAATGAGGATTCTTGAACAGTTGAGTGAAATGAAAAATGAATGCATGAATATAATGAAGCGAAGAGATTGAAAGTACCTGCATATCTACGTCACAAGTAGTAGCTGTGATTTCCTCTCTGGGGCGCTTCTCCCCATATGGAGATGTAATATTGGAATATGGATTTCTCATAGCTTCAGAAGAAGTTTGAGTCCATGAATTCTGCCCCGGAACCTAAAAACAGAGAAAGGCAATTAACAAAATGATACAATGCTATTGTCAGCAACAACCTGTGCAGAGGCTTTACTCATTAGTAGCATTTAACTGACAAAATCAACTACTAGGAAAGACCCATTGAAGTTCTTAAAACATGTCAATAGCCAAGTATCAGCAATGCTAACAACTAGCAAACATCAATGCTCAAGTTAACGGAAACAAACTTTGTATAAGCCCACGATGAACAAGAGGAAACAGGGGAAAAAATAGAGGAGCAAGGAAAGTTCTAGTTGTAAGGACTCACAGGAACACAATAAAGCAAACGACGCTCCCAAATCCGCATATCAGATGAAGAACCCATGGGAAATTGGGGAACATCTGCAAATTTGTTGGTTCTCCATGTTGCTCCATCCTTTAAAAGAAAAGGGCATAAGGGCACTCAATTTCAATGGCTCAAAATTTAATTGCAGAAAGACTGATAATTCATCAAGAGAGATGAGACCAAGAATACCTTATAAGCACCAACATAGAATTCATTACCCAGCATATCTTGTATCATTCCCCGGAATCGAACTAGAGTATTGGATTGAATCCATTTAATAGTCATGGGATTAAGAAATGGAACCTAACCCATCACAAAAAAACCGAATACAACCCTTTAACAATAGTATTAAAAAATAACCACATTCTAAAGCAATAAAACAATTTCTAACACCACAAAAGAATATTTCGCACATAATTGAGACTTGGTGAGCAAAACCAACAAACTAGCACCATTGACGATGCAGTTCATTCAGTCTAATAATAAATTTTCTTTGAGTCTAATAATAAATTAATGCAATCTTTCTTGTTTTTCTTTTTTTTCTTTTTTTTTTTTTTTTTTTTGGGGGGGGGGGTTCTGATCATAATAAATTTTCCTTCTTGTTCCTGATCTGATAATACTCCAACCAAAATGAGTAACTAATACAGCACCGATGAATCAGATCAAACAAAAAGAACCAATCTTTTGATTATCAACATCAAATATAAGCCCTAGGGTTTTACATAATCTCGGTATACACTATTCAAGCAAATCGATCAACATAAACATTAAACTAATTGAGGCATTTGGGAATTGTACCTGAGAAAGACCTCCATTGTCGAAAAGGAACTCGCGAAAGAGATCGGTAGCGCCCCAATCTTTGCCGTCAAAGGTAGCTGGATCTTTACCTGAGGCCACCGCCTTCTCGAAAGTCAATCGTACTGCTCCGACTGGGTTCACCAAGCAATCGTACGGTAGGCCCACCATACCTCTCTCTCTCTCTCTCCTCGCGTTGAGTGGAACTGAAACGCCTTTGGCGGGCTGCCGCCCTAACAGTTAAGTAAGTATATTTTCCCGCCAAATCTAATGGGATGTGTATTTCCCGCCAATATGGTCTACGATAACGGTGGGTAAAGAGCTCTTATCACATATGATGGTTAGCCGTTAGCTTTCTTTTACTGGATAGATAATTAAATTAGCTTAAACATGTTGCGAAAATTTAAAAAAAAAATCTCAAAAATAGGTTAAATACATTTTTTATTAGTTCAACTGTTTTGATGAATTTTAAATGAATTTATTGAATATTATAATTTAAATGATGTGGCGAAATCTTATATATTAAATGGTTAGTGCAATTGAGTAATACCCACGAATCCGACTATCTACACTAATTTAGTATATAAAATTTAATAAATAATTTGATAAACATAACAATTATTTATATTTACCACATGAACTGATGGTTTAATAGTAAACAGTATTTTTTTTAGGGTCGTTTTTAATTATCATGTAGTTATTAAATAGAATTTAATTTATAGGAGTAATGAGATTTATTAATTGACTTAGGTAATACTGCGGTGACGAACTATGGAGAGATTCTCGTAGTCATGCCTGTGATTTACAACCTATTGTCCCTCCCTTTTTTAAACATAAACCAAAAAAAATCGAAAAATTATATCCAAACTGTTGAGATTTATTACTAAATCACTCAGATTCTTTGATATTTAAAATATTATATACAGATCCCCTAAAGTTTGTACGCGCGTATCACTTAGACCCTTGTTGTAAATATATCTGTTAATAATTACACTTAGACTCACCTAAAGTTTGTGGGTATATAATACTTAGACCCTTTAAGTTTAAAATATTATATTTTGACCAAAAATACTTCAATCAAATATCAAATATCAAATATTTTAAATTTTACAACAAAAATTCATGTTCTATTGTATCATTTATTGAAATAAAATTAAAATTAAAAAAAAAAATTTTAAAAAAAATCGTAATTAGTATACAATTATACTATCTATTGGAATAAAACTAAAAAATCAAACAATGGGTCTAAGTTATTCATAATAGAATATAAATTTTACATCTAAAATTCATGTTCTATAATGACATTTATTGAAATAAAATCAAAAATAAAAATTTATTTGTTTAACCAAAAACATTGTTAGTATATATTTATACTGTCTATTAGAACAAAACTAAAAAATTAAACAAATAATCAAATTGTAATTGATACAATATCTTTTAGATTTAATTGAGGTAGTTTGATATTTTAATTTGGTTGTTTAAACGACTAACTTAAATTCTAATAGACAATATAATTGTATATCAATTACAATTTTTTAAGAAAAAATTAAAATTTTTTTTTATTTTATTTTAATAAATGATATAATAAAACATTAATTTTGGTTGTAAAATTTAAAATATTTTATATTTTATATTTAATTGGAGTATTTTTTTGTCTAAATATAATATTTTAAACTAAAAAAGTCTACGTATTATATGCCCACAAACTTTAGGGGAGTTTAAGTGTAATTTATTAACGGATATATTTACGACAAGGTCTAAGTGTTACACGCGTACAAACCTCAGGGGGTTTGTGTGTAATATTTCAAATGTTAGGGGTTTTGAGTGATTAAGTAACAAATTTCATGAGGTCTGGGTGTAATTCTCTCCCAAAAAAAACAAGGGTTTTAAAGGGCTCAGTGCCTTTTTTAGAAATTATAGGGCAAAAAGTACCACTTTTAAACATATAGGTCAAAAAATACACAATCCCTAACAAAATTCTAAAATACCCCATTCAGTAAAATGGGAACCGATTTCTATATTTTTGCCTCCATAACCAAAATATCAGGGATATTAACTATTACCCATAAAACTCCTTCAATATCGCCAAAACTTTCATTATTCAAAGATTGATAAGAAAATTTTCTTAAAATCTCCATTTTTTTCAAAACATCCTAATTCCAATAGATCTGAACGATTTTCTCTTATTAAAAAATTAACTCTCCATCAAAGTATCAACGAAGTCCAAATACTTTTGTTTTCGATCAAGAGGACTCATCGAGATCGCAAAACTCCCTAAGGACTTAAAGCACAAGGTTCCAAACATTCTCGATGTTAAGGTGGACCGCAAAGCAGGATCGTGGATTGTAAAAACCACCATGAATCTGTACATGAAAAATGAGAGTTCTGAGAGGATTCATCTTCTTTAAGGCTTGCAAACCATGGAGGTAACGTTCAAGAGGTGTAATGATTTTTTGAAAAAATTTCAATCACATCCCTTTTAGTTTACTATATTTTTAAGAACACTCTCTTTATTATCAAAAAATATCACTGACACCTTTTCCAATATGACATTGACTTGTAGTATTGTGACATTGTTGTGTATCACTGTGTCAATGTGACATGTACCATTGTACTAAATTTAAATTTAAAATATTCATGGAAAACAATTATATAAATGTAGGGAAGATATAAATAAAAAAAATTATATAAATATATTGTGAATTTTTGAATAGTAACAATGTGTCATTGTTGATATCATTGTCATTAGAAGGTATCACTGTGACATTTTTGTTTATAGTATGATGACATTCATTAGCGGAAGGGTGTCGTTGACAAATATTTTCAAGAGGAAAAAAATGAAATGAATGTTTTAGAGTGCGTTTGATAACGTTTTTGTTTTTATAAAAAAACAAAACAAAATTTTATTTATTTTTTGTGATAAAAATTAAAAATATAAAATATGTTTGATAGTCATTTATATTTAAAAAATTATAAAACAAAAATAAAAAATATGTTTGGTATTATACCAAAAATTCACCACCCAATAGTCAACCACTAGCCACCACCAAACACCCACCACCACCACCACCGAAAACCACCCTTACAACCCCTTTCCAATAACTAGCAACCCCTAAAATTCACCACCCCCCCCCCACCCGCGAAACTCACCACCATCGAAACTCACCCCCACTAGCACAACCTCTTGAAACCCAGCACCACCCCAATCGGTTGAAATCCAACACCACCCAGTCCCAACACCACCCCAATTGGCTGAAACCCACAGCCACCCCCCAATCGATCGAAACCCACAACCAGCCAACCCACCCCCATCCCTGAAACCCACAACCGCCTAACCCACCCCCCATCTCCGAAATCCACAACCACTCAACCCACCCCTCATGCTCGAAAACCCATCACCATTAACCAACCCCACCAACATTAGCGAAACCCCCATCACTCCCAAAAATCTATCACCACCACCAAAATAGAGAAGGTTGAGAGAGAGAGAGCAAGAACGATAGAGGGAGAGGAGGGGAGATGGCGTTTGGATTCTTCGTCTTCATCTTCAGCAGAGAGAGAAAGAGACAATAGAGATATGAGAGGTGAAAGAGAGAGATGGCCTTTTATATACTAAAGCAAAAAAATCCATATTTTGTTGCTAAGGAGGATTGAAGCCCATACCTCATTAAATCCCTTTCACCATCGGGCGTTTGGTTTTTTTTTTTTTTGATGTTTTCAAAAACATCATTTTGGATGTTTTCATATTGTAGCCTTGTTTTTAAAACAGAGTAATTAAAAAAAAAATAAAAACATTCATCGAACATATTTTTAATTTTTTTTTGGCCAAAAAATAAAAACAAAAAAAAATAAAATGAAAACACATAGTTACCAAATACTACCTTAATAAACGATTTTTTAATTATAGATGAATAGATAATTTAAAATTCAAAAAAGATATACCATAAAATTAGGAAACTGAATCCCTATATAACTGTCATATTTGTCTTCTATTAATAAAGGAAAAGTACAATTTAGTAAGAAAAAAAATTACAATTCAGTAAAAGTGTATCTTTTCACCAAATATTTATATATAAAGATATTTATACACATATATTTTATATTGAAATACTTTTACACAAATAAATATGGAAGAGAATACTTTTTCACCATTTTTCCAAAAACCAATTATATAGCCCAAGTCCCAATGGGCCATAGAGCTACCAATCCCTGTGGCGTGTGGGTTTTTGAATGGGCTAGATTGTTCAGAAAAATTACTAACCACAACTAGTTCATCTATCAATCCAAATTATTGTTTTTTTTTTTCAAGGTTAGTAGTGTTTTTGGTCATCAAACTATATATATTTTTTATCAGTTTAATTTTATTATATTAATTTTATTAATTTAATTCTTAAAATATTTAATTTGTGTTATTTTGGTCCCTACATAGACAGACCGTTAAATTTTTTACGAAATAATCACGTGTTGAACACATAGTACCATCTGAAAAAAATAATACATGGTCATTTCAGTAAAAAAAATTTTTATGAATTATCTAATTAACAGTCAAAGTAACACGGATTGAATACTTTAAAGGTTAAATTGACAAAATTGATACGATGAGAATTAATCTAATAAAAAATACATAATTTAGAAATAAAAAATACTTAAATACTACTTTTCCTCTTAAAATACAATTGAGTCCTATCAACTTTGTATTAGGATAGTTAAGTTTTACTTTTAATCATTGTTTGCAATAAAGTTTTTCTTTTTATTATATACTTTTGTTTTTACCAGTTTTGGTGTTAATTACAAATATCATTGTATTGTGTCAATCCAATAACCCCAAAAAGGACACTCAAGGGTTTTTTTTTTATCACAAGAGAACTACAACACTTCTACTTAAAAACAACACTCAAAGGTTGATGTTTGGGACTTTCCATTAACAAGTAGCTCAATCATTCCTTAAATTATTTCAACGTAAGATAACCAATTTTTTTGTAGATATCTGATAAAAGGATAAAATGGACATTAAAATATCAATTAAAGATAAAAAAATTGCTTAGTATAATTTTTTTCTTAACAACAATCAAGAGTGTCTGGACTAACTTACGCGCACCTCGACTAATCACTTCTTCCACCTGATTAAGAACAGGCCATCGACACAATATACTTTCATTAGTAATAAATAGCATACTTGATTGGCACATGACAATGACACTTGCATAATTAGCATTGAAAGGGGTAGAAAGAAAGAGTAATACTATTTGGACATAATTTGAGAACTTAACTTGAAAACTTAATGCATCGTGATCATTGGATTAATAGTGAAGTGTATTCAATACTGGGACTGACTGTCAATCCAATGACCACAATAAATCTCCAAAGAGCAATGCTTTATATCTCAAATTTGTATCCCAAATGTACATCCCAAATAAATGGGAACCATTAGATGAGTGGATCCCATCAACTTTTTTAATTGGGACCCACTGATCCAACCATCCTTATTGATTTGAGATATATAACAATACTCATCTCTAAATTATGTCCCAATAATATAAATAAAAACAAAAGTTATAGACTAAAAATTAAGACTTCATTGGAACCAATGGTGGAAAATAGGACTTCATTATCCGTTCGAATCTAAACAGGTTCTCTGCATGTGGGAAAAAGGTTACGCACACCTACCCCTCGTACACAAGATCATCTTTTTTTCACTAAATTAGGTTTACATGCATAATAAGGATGAAAATGAGATTAAGATAATAATTAGTGACCATCTAAAAGATTTGTCACCAGCCAAAGTAACTTTGAAAACTAGATAAAGAAGTGAAAACTATAATTCAGATAGGAAGAAGAATGAGACAGTTAACCATACTGTATGTCTGAGAAGGTTCAGCAATTAGATCCGAAATGCAGAAATAAGAGGGAACTTGAAAAACCTGATGAGAGCTTTGCTAGCTCTATCCATAATTAGTGCAACATGCTACCCGAAATGTTGATAACTGCCATTCTGATGTTCCAATGAACCCATATTTTGATGCTGACTATAATGATCAAACTACCCAAGTTTCATATTCATGCTTCAGACACTCCAAAAGCCTTTTGCCAATTTCAGAAGAACATGGAAAAGTCCATATCAGAGAGGTGATTGTTATCGAAAGCATTGGACTAGTTTCATCTGAGAAGCCAGGCATCCTCTGTTGATACAATGATAGAGTTCTACTTTTCTGCCATAATGCCAAATGCTTAAAACTGGAAAAGGAGCAGTATCTCTGTTAGTTTGTGCAAGGATGTTTCTCACACATCTCTTTCACATACACTCTCAATGTGACATAAGAAACAACACTAGTTCCCTTCACAGCTTAGACAACATAGACCATTCCAACCTGAAGGAGAGAGGCTGGAGGCACCTTTAGAGCAACATCTGCCCCCCTGCAATTTCTACTTAGGAAATTATATCCAAAATTGACAGCAAACCTCTTCAAGAACGATGATCCTTGTTTTGCTTTAACATGCGAGTGCCCAAGTATGAATGCAATCCCTGCTTGTCGAGCCACATATAAATCTTCTAGCTCTTCCCTCCATTGCACATCCATTTCAGGCAGAGAATCAACTTCAGACTCATTGCCAATAGTGAACCTCACTCTTCTTTCCACGACATGATTGGAATCCTTCTCAATTACACTGCTCACACTCTCAACTGTTGGGAACTCAGCAGATACATTTGTTGGTTCCACACTTTCCTCAATCTCAAAAGCCTGTATGGAAGCACATTTCACAGTTCCTATCGCCTCCAATATGCACTCACCTGATGATCCTCCAGATTGAGAGTCATTATCTTCATTATATGTACTAACTATCCCATGTGACTTGTGCCAATCATGGCGGATAAAATCAGCCAACCTATTAACTAGTTCAGATTCAAAAGAATCGACATCTTGATGAACATCACAGTACCCATGACGAACAATGCACCTGTAGGACCGATGAGCAGCAGGACCCACCCGGCCTATGAGATATTGCTCAGGTGGGGGCACAAAAGGGACTGGCACAGATTTCACACATACAAAAACAAGAACACGGTGGAAGGCAGGGAGGTTGGTGACAAAACGTGAGAAGTTTGCAGGAATGTCAGAGGTTAGATCAGTAAACACGAGGCCAATTCCAGGTACTCGAGCAATACCCAAGCTTGGTCCCAAGGAAAATAGCCATTCCAATGAAACCTTGTTGTGTAGGTCAAATTCATACTTTTTAATGGTGGTATAGTGCCAAACAAACATGACTGAGACAAGGAAGAGGGAAAGAAGGATGGGAAGCCAGGCACCTTCATGGAACTTGATCAGGGAAGATGAGAAGTACAGTAATTCGATAGATCCAAAGAAAAGTAGGAAGAAAAGAGCTAAAATGGGAGGCTTCTGCCAGCAGAGGATGATGACCAAGGATGTGAGGCAAGTTGTCACTAGCATTACTGCCATCACTGCTAATCCTGCAATGAAAAACATCAAAATTGTATTACTTTAAGAAGACCAATGAGTTTAGAAGTCAGTGGGCATGGTGCTAGAAGATTTCACAGGTAGAATAGTTAGGAATAATCTACCTGTTGCATTTCCCATGTGTTTTATGTCTCTGAATCCAATAGTTACTGCAATACAGAGGATCATGAGCATCCAGTTGATCTCAGGGATATAGATCTGGCCATGAATCTTATCAGAAGTGTGGACAACCTTAACTCTTGGAAAGCAACCAAGTGATTGGCTCTGGTTGATGATCGAGAACGTCCCGCTGATGATTGCTTGACTTCCCACAACGGAAGCAAGGATGGCTAATACAAGCACTGGCCACCTCACACTCTCTGTATGCAAAAAAATAGCAACTGCGTTAGGCACATAAACTAGTTAAAATCACAGATTCCAGGATTGTGCAAAGAAACATGTTCTGGCTTTTTTGAACATAGTGTATACATAAACTTGAACCTAATGCGGGACAATTAGTATATATACCTTCTAGGGCAGGCCAAACATCAATCATTTGATCACAGATGGTAATCAAAAAAAAAAAAGACCAAGCTGATGAACAAATCCAATAAAACCAATTAACCAACATCAAACCTCCTGTGCAGTGAAGTAATATGAGGCTAGCACAAATTGGCCCTGGCTATAATGATCCTAAGATATAGACCTTGAAGTTGGCTAGTCAAGGAATTTGCCAAGCATTGGTCAATGAGATTTTAATGTAAGTACCTCAGTCAAACCCATAGTTGAAGCATTTTAAGTCCCTCAATCAGTGTGATCCACTAATTTTCAGATGTCTACCAAGTTGCTATGAGGTGTTATCCAAGAAATATTGTATTTCCATGATTCTTGTGCATCAGTATCCCCAAGTCATTCCAAAATTTAGGTTGTGGAAATAAAAGAAAGAATAGGGCTAAAATGTGAGAATGTGACCTATAGATTTGTGCTTGTCTTCAACTTAAACTGGCCTGAAAGAATAAAATATTTTGAGTTTGAAGCTTGCACACAAAAACACTCATCATTTCTCAAGCTCAGCTCTGTTGGCACCATTTGATACAAGTGGCTCTATCCTCACCATTCAGAAACATCATAATGTTCTTTGATCTTAGAGCCTAGGGATGACAAAATATACCTGGTACTGAGTCATAAAAACCAATATTATAACTGGTTTCGTGATGCTCCGACATGTAAGCTGCTTGACCCATATATGCCAATATTAGTGCTGGATAAACCAGAAAGGTGAAAGCAATCTGCAACAAAAACCAAGAGTAAGGAGTTTTAGTATTAGAGGCAACAAAGATTCCTCCATGGCTAAAAGACATTGGTAGTACACACCATTTACGGTAAATAAATAACTGTTCAATCCAGTAGTACCTGAATTGCAGCATAAGAGAAGTGGCCAAGATCGGCAAACATTGCTTCTAAGCCTGCAAACACAGGTATTCAGAAAAGTGGCTTTTGTTGGGAGTTGTATTAGTGTGCACATTCCATACTACTGTGCTGGTCTCTGCAGCATCAAGTTTCTGGCATAGGAATATCATAGAGTTTTAACATTTTTTTCTGTTCCTCAGTGTCACAAGAACACTTATTGCAGTGCATGTCATGCATAGTTAAGATAAACTTTTGATTATTGGAAGGTTACTATTCAGAAGCATTTGTCAAATACCAGCATAATGGAGGTACATTGCAATTTAAGCATTATGCAGAACTAATCACACATTTACAAACACAATAGAAATAGAAAAAGGAAACCATCAAATGCAATTATTATAACAAATTTACCTGTTATGCACAATAAAATTCCCCCCAGAGACATCCATCCTCCTTTTCTTGTCTTCTTAATGAACTTCAACATGTAATATGGAGAAAGAGCCTTATAAACATGTCGGTTCCAATAGAATATATTATNCAAACCTCCTGTGCAGTGAAGTAATATGAGGCTAGCACAAATTGGCCCTGGCTATAATGATCCTAAGATATAGACCTTGAAGTTGGCTAGTCAAGGAATTTGCCAAGCATTGGTCAATGAGATTTTAATGTAAGTACCTCAGTCAAACCCATAGTTGAAGCATTTTAAGTCCCTCAATCAGTGTGATCCACTAATTTTCAGATGTCTACCAAGTTGCTATGAGGTGTTATCCAAGAAATATTGTATTTCCATGATTCTTGTGCATCAGTATCCCCAAGTCATTCCAAAATTTAGGTTGTGGAAATAAAAGAAAGAATAGGGCTAAAATGTGAGAATGTGACCTATAGATTTGTGCTTGTCTTCAACTTAAACTGGCCTGAAAGAATAAAATATTTTGAGTTTGAAGCTTGCACACAAAAACACTCATCATTTCTCAAGCTCAGCTCTGTTGGCACCATTTGATACAAGTGGCTCTATCCTCACCATTCAGAAACATCATAATGTTCTTTGATCTTAGAGCCTAGGGATGACAAAATATACCTGGTACTGAGTCATAAAAACCAATATTATAACTGGTTTCGTGATGCTCCGACATGTAAGCTGCTTGACCCATATATGCCAATATTAGTGCTGGATAAACCAGAAAGGTGAAAGCAATCTGCAACAAAAACCAAGAGTAAGGAGTTTTAGTATTAGAGGCAACAAAGATTCCTCCATGGCTAAAAGACATTGGTAGTACACACCATTTACGGTAAATAAATAACTGTTCAATCCAGTAGTACCTGAATTGCAGCATAAGAGAAGTGGCCAAGATCGGCAAACATTGCTTCTAAGCCTGCAAACACAGGTATTCAGAAAAGTGGCTTTTGTTGGGAGTTGTATTAGTGTGCACATTCCATACTACTGTGCTGGTCTCTGCAGCATCAAGTTTCTGGCATAGGAATATCATAGAGTTTTAACATTTTTTTCTGTTCCTCAGTGTCACAAGAACACTTATTGCAGTGCATGTCATGCATAGTTAAGATAAACTTTTGATTATTGGAAGGTTACTATTCAGAAGCATTTGTCAAATACCAGCATAATGGAGGTACATTGCAATTTAAGCATTATGCAGAACTAATCACACATTTACAAACACAATAGAAATAGAAAAAGGAAACCATCAAATGCAATTATTATAACAAATTTACCTGTTATGCACAATAAAATTCCCCCCAGAGACATCCATCCTCCTTTTCTTGTCTTCTTAATGAACTTCAACATGTAATATGGAGAAAGAGCCTTATAAACATGTCGGTTCCAATAGAATATATTATACAAGCCGAGGGCACTGATGCATAGTAGCCAACACAACACAACTGGTGCAAAAAAAAAACCAACTCGATGTGTGCCATAATGTTGTAGGGCAAATAGGCACACTAATATGAAGCATGTAATTGGAATCACCGCATCTGCAAATTTTGGCATAGATATAATGTAAGAATGGATAGAATTGATATGAAACCCACAACTAATTTATATATCTCTTCATCACAACTTGAATAAAGCCCCTGAAGTTAAATATAGTTGCCTTTATTCTTTCTAATAGATGAATGATAGAAATGCAATACATAAAGAGTGTCTGCAGATATGAAGTAAGCAATACCTGAGTATAACAGTAACATAAATTCATTAATGAAGCAACAATTGAGATTATCAATTTTTTTTTTTTATTCTAACAATTCAGAATATTTGTACTCTTAACTTTGACATGGTAATCACTACAATGCTATGCAAGAAATATTCACATCTTGCCATCATTCAAAAGCAAACAGATAGGATCATGAGAAAGGACAAAATATGACCATTACAGGCCCCAACCTGCAGAGTTCAGATGATCCCGGCAAACCAGGCCAACTAGTCCCTGTTCACTAATGTGGTTAGAAAAATAAAGTGGCTCCCCTTATCCGACAACCAATTTCAGTGATTTAAAACACAATCCTCTTGACACTAATTTCATAAAAAATACCCAAAATTAGAACTATAGTTCAACAAAACTATGTCTGTGAATGAAACACTTCACAATTTAAACATCACCATGCCCCTGTCCCAGCAGTCATATGGTGATCCCATATAAGATCAAGAATTGGAAAGGAAGGATATTATTAAACAAACGAAAGCAGTAAAATGGGCAATGTTGACAACGGAATTAATTCAGAAAATAGCATGTTTTCTTTATGATAACACGTGGACAAAAAAATGGAAAACAGCATATTCTTTTCTTTCCCCTCCATTCTTCAATTGCTAAGGATTTTATGTTTTTTTTAATTGAATAAAAGCTGGTAATAAGTATCTCTAACTGAAACTGAACCCGACACAAATTAGGAGGCAAACAAAACAAATGTCATTTCTCTCTGCTTCATGAGTTGAAAAACTTTGTTTGATTTACATCATCAAATAATCACCAAGACTAAAGGAAAGTAGCAGAATACAACTAGAACAACACTCTAAGCAAAAAGAAGCTTACGCTGGTGATGCTCTTTGGATATGAGAAACTCAAGGCCAGAAACCGCAGAAAAAACTACATAAAGAAACATGTTCTTAGTCTGCAAATAAGAGGACAGAGTTGCAATTGAAACATATGTAACAGGAAAAAAAGGCTACCAGATATGGCTGGAGTGAGCAGACCATCTCCAATTACCATACAAGTGCCCAGAAGAACCAAGATTAGCAAAGCAGTGTGCAAGGACTTGTGCTTCTCAAGAAACATTTTCACCCTTGAGCTATTCACTTTCTCTGGAGGATGCTCCAGTTTATATGTAGAGAGTGCTTCATCAGAAACTTGACGGTTGGGCAGAAGGCTCACTTTAGCATGCCTGCATATCAATGAATAAAGGGCAAAAGTGCCACCTGCAAACATTATGCATAAGAGTATTTAATTTTGCAGATCAATAGTCTAAACATCTCTCATTTAGTACTGAACTCACCCTGTCCATTGTCATCAGCTCTGAGGACTATGAAGACATATTTGAAGAGAGAAATTAGAGTTAGAGTCCAGAAAACAAAAGAAAGAACTCCAAAAATCTCGTCATTTCTTTCTGAGTGATGAATGTCTTTTGCAAATGTGCTCTTGAAAACATAGAGAGGGGAGATGCTGAGGTCCCCATATACCACACCAAGACTTTGATAAGCTAACAGCAGTGTGGTCTTCCAAGAATCCTTCTGCAATGCAAAATTCAGCGAGAAATTTTCCCAAACTTGTTTAAAACTTCATAAGGATTAAGCTTTAAAGCAGTTGATGCTGCAAATTTCTGTAAATTGAAGAAGAGAGTAAATGATCAAACCTTTGAAGAGCTACAACACTTAACATGGGCAAGATCCATTGTCATAAGATGTCAATCTTCACACTTAATTTCTGTTGATGGTCACAGCTAGATGCAGATCCTCACTGAAACAACAATTAAGCTTAATGAATACTCGGAAAAATTCAGAAGATATGGTGAAGAAACACCAAAAATGACGCATTGACACTATCTCATATCTCTACCCTACACCAACTTTTGAGAAGATAAAAAGCTAGACTCACCCATTTAGCCATAAACCCATCTCACTCCATACCTTAATTATTCAGAAGAGTGGCATTTGTCTAGAGAATCCTAAAAATAAAGTTATCCTAAATGTTATCGTAATGAGAATGCAAAATGGAATTGATGCTCAGTTACGTGTCCTCCATTAATGTTCTTTTAGTGGTTGATGAGAAAGAAACTGATATCTCCCTTGCTGTTGTTGCCACTAAATTAAGCAAGAAATCCAACACGAATTGTTGAACCCAACCTAAATAAAACCTAAAGAACTCATTCGATTTTACAGTTCAGTTCACAAATTTACAATACCCAGAAGGGGGAAAAAAACAGAAGACAACAAGAGAACGTCCTAGTGTGGGCAAGGAAAGCCAAATCTCATGATTCAACGGCTGTTGCATTATCAAATCAGTCACACCAAGTTGAGCCCACTGAAATAAAGGCGACTTTAAGAACCATAAAACCCATTCTCTACCAGTCCCAATCTCTCTCTCTCTCTCTCTAAAATAACAATGTATAATTTGATCTGCCAAACTCTCACCAACCTGGTACAATATAACATAAAACCTGCATAAGCTTGGAAGTGTTCTTTGTGATTGCGTTGCCTCTAATTCTCAAAATGGGTCTAATTTCCCAAATTTCCAGCTGCATATATAGCACAGCAAGATGAACGCTGACCTTAAAAGGTGAAAAGGAAAAGGGTTTTCCATACCTATAAATCATAACCAAAGAAACTTCAAAAAAGGGTCACACAAATATGATTAAGCACTCACCAGAACTGATGATAATTCTAAGGTCTGCCTGCCCTAAACCAGGATGAAGATGAATCTGATGAGTGAGAAAATGGAGATTCAAAAAGAGAAATATCTTCTTTATAGCCACAGCCACGTGATTAGAACATGGACCCCTTTTACAAACTCCAAAGTTGATACTAAATACCCACCAACTCCTCCCCTAACCCTTTGTTCTTGGTGTTCTACGGGTACGGCTTAAAGATTTAGATGGATATTTTCATTTCCGTTTGGGTATGTAAAGCTACAGCCAACTGGGTAACTCTACTTTTTCGTCCCTCCTTTGTCGTTTTCTCTCCTTTTCAATGGAATACCTTTCTCCATAGCTGATCCAGTGAGATCGACCTTTGATTTTTGGTGGTAGATGAATCTGGGTATTTCTGATGGAAGCAATCTTTAAGAAGATGGAGGGAGGGTCTTTTCAGCCATTAATGCTCTCATTACAGTTCAGTAATAAACGTTCTAGATCCATAACAACAAACCAGAACCAATACATGCTGAGAAAAAAAAAAAACAGTTACTACGTACTAGCTATCTATCCATTACCAACGGCTTTGGTTGAATGGTACTCCTCCCCTCCTCACTCCCAAAAAAAAAAAATCTACCCATCTAGTGCCATCTTTACCTTCTTGAACTTCTCGAGGAAAATGGACCTCCCTGTAATGAACACATACATCGAACTAATATTTATCACTACCTGAGTTAGAAAAACTATTTCTCAGTGCTCAGAAAAACTATTTCTCAGTGCTCAGCTTAGGGGGAATGTGCTATGTATGTGTTTGTACTTCATGGGTTGATCGGCCATTAAAATTTTTGGAGTTTCTGAGAAAGCTGACGACAGTGAAGCAGATGAAGTGCTGATTCTGATTTCTGAAGGAATTGGATGTGCCCAGAACAGAAAATATTATCTTACAAGCTTTGCAAGTACACGATTATGATTTACAAAACCGACCATGGTAGGCGAATCTCACAGAGCGCTCAGAGCTAGTAGTGATTTGTACGAATATGTAGATTCGCATATGTACACAGACGACAACAATTGTATCAAACAAATTCATGAAGAAAACATAGGATAGGAGAACAATGGGCGGGAACTTGAATTTAAAAATGGTGTAGTTGCAGGAATTTAATTAGTTAATTATTTGGGGAGATTAGTACATAGGAATTTGTATGTGCCGACCCCTTGGATAGTCACCGACCGTCGTAAATTGACTCGAAAAAAAATATTCTAACCGTCACAGTGGAGATTCGTACATGTGATTCATGCTGTCCCCTTTTTCTTTGGCACAGAGAGAGAGAGAGAGAGAGAGAGATGTAGGCGAAGAACAAATAGAATTTGCTACAAAAATGGCTAACAGGGGTACTTCTGTGTATGAGAATATAGTCGTGGAGAAGGTAATAACCGAAATAAGATTCATTCTGGCTGGACCGCCCAAACCCTGAGTGCTGACTTCTGAGGAAGACCACCGGCATGTTTGTTTGACGAGTTTTGGAGGGTATCATACATATAGGATTTGATTACAGTGCACAAAAAAAAAAAAAAAAAAAAAAATTTTTTATATTTATATTTATAGTTATTTTTATTGTATTTATGAATTCTTTTATTACGGTTGTGGTACCTCAAAAATTAATAAAAATAGTTATTACAACAATGATTAAAAATTCACAAATGTGATTAAAATATTTATAAATGTAATAAATTTTTTTATATGAAAAAAACGTGATAAAAATAGGTACCATGAACGTGGTAAAAATGCTTACAACAGAGATAAAAACACAAACAAAAGTAATAAATCACCCACAAAAATAATAAACTTTTTAGTTGTAAAATGACACACAAAAATTATAAAAATATTTATTATTATAATAAAAATTAGAGGTAAGGTATCAAAATTATTTCTTCGGTACTATAGTCAAATCTTAACTTATAAGATAAGTTTAAGTAAAATATTTTAATGGATTATATAATCATATTAGTTATTACCTGTGCTTGAAGGCACAAAGTAATAAAAAAATGATAAACAATAAACATAATTGTATTTATATCCAAAAATCAAATCGCAAACATAGAGAAGAGATAAAGAAATTTAAGCACCGATTTGTAGTGGGAGTGAGAGGTGGTGGGTAACAGTAGTGGTGGTAGGAGACGGTAATGATTGTGGTGGGTGGCAATGACCGTGGTGGTGGCGAGGGCGACAGTGATGGTGGTAGTGGTGGCGGCGACGGGTGGCGGTGGCGATGACGGTGGCAGTGGTGGTGGTGGCGGCGATAGGGATGACGGTGGGGGATGGCGGCGACGAGGGTGGTGGCAGCAGTGGTGATGATGGGGGTGGCAGTGGCGATGATGGTGACGACGGCGGTGGGGGTGATGACGGTAAAGGTGATGGTGACGACGATGGTGATGGTGGTGGTGGCGACGACAGTGGTGATGGTGGTGGCGACGACGACAGTGGTTGTGGTGGCGACGACGACAGTGGTTGTGGTGGCGACGGCGATGGTGGTGGCGGTTGTGGTGGTGGTGGTTGTGGTGGTGGTGGTGGTAGAGGTAGTGATGAGGTGGTTTCAAACACTATTTTTTAAAAATATTTATGAGAAATAATTTTTAAAAGTACTTTTAAAAAGTCACTTCAAACACACTTTTATGAGTCTATATTTTTTTATTAAATATGGAGTGTTAATATTAACCGTTAGATTAACTTTAAAGTAAAATTTAAAACAATCTGAACCATGAATAGTAAAAGTTATTTTGTTTATCTTTTGAAATTTGAATTATAAGCTACTTTATTATATAGATGTTTAGTTAAAACGTTTAAATTAGGGAGATTCCAGCCCATGAGCGAGGCAAAAGGTTAAACCTGTGTGTGTGGGTTTAAAATCGGTCAATTTAGGACATAATTATTAAAAAAATCTTTTTATTTCTAAAACATCCAATTAAAATGATTGGATAAGACAGTTTAGTCAATTATATCACAAATATTTAGTTACTAGTAATAACTCATCCTTATAACCACTTTGCAATTTAAAAAAATCCTTCAATTTAAAATACTTTTTTTCTTCATTTTTTTTAATTAATAAAATTAAAATCAATATAATCCCTTCTATGTTTTTAAAATTTGTTTGTATTTTTTTTTTTGTAAATAATTACCCATAAAAATCTCAACTTATCTACAATGACATCAATTGCATCATTATCCAACACAAACCATTCAATCTCTCAACACAAATCATTGCATAACAAATTTCAAGAATAAATTACTCAACCCTAACTCAAAAACAACATCAAATTTTAATCACTACATAATAGAAGCTAAAATCTCATTTATATAATAATAACAAAAGTTATAGACACATTGTACATACAAGTCCAGCCAAAAAACTAAATCCACATAAATAAGAATCATTTGGTTCGAACATTCCATATTTTGAAGCATCGACCAATAATGAAATTGCAACCCTTCCAATAACTCTTATTATTATCGACCCCTCCATGTAATCCACTACAATTTGTGGTCTTATTAATCCCTCCAAGATTTTAATCGCATTACCCACAAAGTAATCTTTCCAGTACAATTCAATAGCAGTAAATATAAAAATAAATAAATAAATGATCACCAAAATTATTTTATGTAATTACAAATTTTTTTCCCACAACTCGTTCTAGACATAGCATGTTAGAGAGTCACTTGGTATACTTGATTCTTCCAGATGTTCAAGAACACTCATTTCTTTTAGAATACGACCTGTAAAGTTGTCAAAACAATGTTCAACCTTATTATATTAATAACATTAGTTGACCGCAAGCCACATTGCTAGCAAAGAAGAACATATAATGGAAAAAGAACATATCATATAACAAAAACAAAGTCTTAAGTTATATTCAAAATTTACTGTATACCTTTCAAGCTGTTAAATTAAAGACACAAGGCCCTGAGCCTAGTCAGGTTTGCCAGTTTGTTTAGGTATGTCGTTCCATACCACTTGTTTTATCCCTAGCTTAGTTCAAATAATAGGCGAATGAGTGAATTTCTTCGAAATGACCCAAGATTAAGATCATAACAATTAGCTTTCAGCATTAGAATTTTAAGCAAACAAAAACTGTCATATTCAACTAAAACAATTCAAAATAGCAAAACCCTTTGATATTAAAGTAACACCCAACAAAACCCCACCATCCAATTTCATAAAAAAAAAAAAAAACCCAAACAAATTATGAAATTAAACCCCAATCGCAATCAAAATAAACATAACATTGAAGTTCATTTCCATAACTACTCTTAACATTCAATCAAAATACCACAAACAACTATAACATTCAATCAAAACTCTACAATTCTATTTCATGAAAATAACCAAAATTTGAAATTAGACAAGCACAATTTCATGAAAAATCTCAAATTAAAAACCCTAGCATCAATTGCTCAAAACTTAACAACCAACTTGAAACTATAACACAAAACACCCAAGTTAACACCCAATTTGAAAAAAATTCAAATAAACAACTAAAGTAATTGATATGCTATTATAGACAGCCAAACACACAACAAAACAATTCTTTTAAACAAATATCAAAAAAGGAGAGCTAATTTAATGAAGAATTTCAATTTTTTAAATTTGATCAAACTATATAGTCCTCCACATAAACATGCTTAAAAATAATATCAAGAAGGGACAACATTACCTTTGTCAAGATAGTAGTTCCTACTTTCATTGCTCATCTTTTTCATTAGTTTCTATGCGCCAAACCTTTCACAAGACAATGACATTAAAAAAAAGAAGAAGAACAAATTACTATAAATGAACAAGCACGCAACAAAACTTGCTTTGGAGTAGGTCCTAAAAGAATAATCAAAACAAACATGAAATTTTCAGATTGCACAAACACACAATAGAAAAAATGAAAAAAATAAAACATAAGCTCAAGACTAAAAACAAGAAAATAAACTGGATAGGTGAAAAATTAAATTGAAAAACATGGACGGGAAATAAAAAATTAGAGAGATGAATAATTAGTGAAAAATCAAATAGATAGACAACTCCACCTTGTTGAAGCAATACTACAAACACCTAATGTTCGAATTTTCTTTTGCTTTGGTATTACTGAGAGACAGAGTGAGCGTTACAAAGAGTGGGTGATAGTCGATGGTGGTGGTCTAAATGGATCTCTGAATATGGACAGACAACGAGGAAGTGTGGCACTGGGTCTTTGAGAAAGAAGACAATACATAGAGAGGAGGGTGGTAGTCGATGGTGGTGGTCCAAATGACTCTCATAATGTGGACAATTGGTGAAGGAGGGGGGCAGTGGGTCTTTGAGAGAGAAGACAATAAATAGAGAGAAGGAAAGAAGAAGGCAAATAGAGAGTGAGGTTGGATTGCTTGTAGGGGTTCGATATTGTGACGACCCGCATAAAAAATAATAATAATCACTAATACGCTAATTTAAATCGTTAATTATGATTCTATATAACTACGGGTTATTTTTAAAATTTTAAATAAAAAAATGGACTTCAATTATGATTTTTTTATGTGAAAATGAGTCAAATAAGTATAATATAGGTCATGTTAAAAATAAAATGTGATATAATATATGAGTAATACATTATATATAGAATATATGTGAGTATATATATATAAAAAGAAAAGCAACCATAAGAGAATGGATATTTGTCCAATGACT